TGCACCGACGGGGCGGCCGTGAGGCGCTGCCTGACCTGCGGGGCTGACCTCTGCCTCTTCTGCTGCCAGGCCCACAGGTGAGGGGGGCGGCGAGGTCAGGCCCGGACGGGGCCACCCCACCGCGGGATGTGTGAGGGCAGTGTGTGGGTGGGTGCAGCAGGCAGGGACCCATGCAGAGCTAGCCACAATAGTAAACCCATGTGTCTTCCAGTTTGTTCAGTCTCTGACAGGTTTTTATTCTCCCTAGACGATGCTCTGTACTCAGATGGGGACCAACAAGCTGCTAACTGGAGGTCAGACCCTCTTCAGGTGAGGCCATTAAGTCCAAAATCAGGCCACCCTTGACCTACGGTGGTGTCCACTTGCTGGTTGGTTTGCATCTGGGTTTAGCATCGCTGGGCAGGGAGACTGATAGCCCTCCAGCAGGTGTGAGTATGGGCAGAGTAGAATCAGGAGGAGAGCCTCACGTGTTGTGCTGTCCTGCCTTGGCGAAGGTACATCTCCCATGGAAAAATAGGCAAGTTAAGCTGTCAGTGGTCTGCTTCTCTCCACCTCCAGAAATGTTTACTGTGCATATGTGCAAAGGCACCCGTAGGTGAAGTGAAAGGAGATAAATGGAAGTCCTGACACTAGTCTGCCTGCTGTGGTTCCTACCTTCTGATGATCTCTCCATGTGCTTGCCTGTTAACTGTTTTGTTCACATATCTTGTGTGCATTTTCAGCTTTTCTGTGAGGCTGGGAGCCTACAGCAGTAACACTGTTGCTCCACAGTGTGCCTGATGTCGCAGGGTTTAGTTTTGTTGGAATATGGGAAAGCTGAAGAAGTGACAGCAGAAGACAGCTGTGTACCTTGGAGAGGGTTGTGTCAGGAATGCAGGAAGAAGAGATGAGTGCAATAGAGGTAGGAGGTGAGGAGGAGGTGACTGCCCTGGCCTGTCAGCAGGGCAGAGAATAGGAAGAAAAGTGATAGGAAGTCTGAATGGCCTTCTGAAGCAAGGAGGTGACAGGCAGGATCAGAAAAACACCCAGTAACACTGGCCAGGGAAGCCTCTTAGCCTGGGTTAATCAGCTCAGCCTATTCCCTCCACGTTTGGTGCTCCTTTCCACTTGATTAGCAGATTATTTCACCAGAAAGAACTGAGGCATATTCCTTGCTGCTCTTCCCCCCTGCAGATACTGGCGCCTGCGGTATCATGTCTTAGACTCTTAGTTACCTTTCTGCTCAGGGTTGTAATTTTGAGCATACCATTCTGGTTAGCTAATGCCTCATAAACCATGCAAGCTGCTGAAAAGTGATAAACTGCGACCTTGAATAGCAGCCTGCTGCACTGACAGAATTATCTGCAAAAAGTGTAAAGCAGTGTAGAATTTGTCCTGATGACCCACTTCCTGCCTAATTTACTAATACCTTTTTTTCACCCCACTAGCATCTGCAGACTTGGCCCTGATTTAGTTGTTGGCAGAGCAGAACAGAACAAGGGCCAAGGAAAACCATTCTGAATTTATTTGCTGGTGTGTAGGGAAGATTTCTAAGAATTTGAGTGCCACAGTTGTGCTGCTTGGAATAAGTGAGAAATGTCTTAGGTTGAAGTCAGAGAAGTGTGAATTTGAAGGGTGTTGTGCAAATAATGCCAGAAGGCTTTGAAAATGCGCTGGACCCAAGAGAGATTAGTGGGAAGTGAAAGGAATAGTGTAAGGGCCATGTCCTGCCCTGTGGTGAGGTTGCTTTGTGTTGCCAGAGCAACTCTATAGAGCTTGGTCCTTAGAGTGTTTCTGTGCTTATGGCTTGGAGCTCCCATTGCAGCTGCCAAAAGTCATTAGTGCAGGAGACAAGGAAGGAAAGCAAGCTTTTACATCCTACTCAGTAACTATCTCCCAGTGTCCAAAATAGCATAAAATGGTAATATTCTAGTGCTGCCCTCTGGGATGGTGGCTTCCTGGGTCGTAACAGGTTCTTTGTGTGCCACCTTTTGTCTCATCTGAGCAGGACCTAACCTGGTGGCCAGAAAGAAATGGAGTTTGGCTTTCAAAATATTAAGTATTTTACCACAGACTGTTTCTGGCAATGGCCTGAACTAGGCTTTCCCCTAATCAATATTAGACCTTATTTGCGTCAGTGAATTAAAAGCTGGTGAAAATCAGTGGGCTGTTGGCTGAGGAGCCTCGTACCTCCTCTTCCTCTCCCGAAGTGACTGTTGGTGAGCAATTCTGTTTTGAGACACCACCTGCTAGCTTTCACTTTTGCAGGGCTCCCTGGCTTCCTGCTGCCTTTGTCACAGTGGGTTCTGGGGGTAATTACAACTGCTCCACTTCTGTCAGGCTCCATGAAGGGGCTGCTGGCAGGAGCAGCCTGACAGCCTCTTCCCCAATCTGTGTGTGGCCATGGTGGGGCACACAATTCTTGTGTCTCAAAGTAATGCTGACTGCACACAGGGAGCCCGAGAGCAGCCTCTAATGAGATGCTTGCAGATACTGCCCTCTTTTGGGTGGAGCCTTGCCCTCAGGAAACCACAAGTCCATTCGTGTAGAGTGAATTTCAGTGGAGACAGGTGGAAGCAGGACACGGTGTGACTTGGTCTGCACAGACTGGCATTCACAAGGGGTCTCAGATGTTTGCATTTCATATCCAGCATGCATAAAGCGACATGTGATTGCTCTCTTCTAGGAGACAGAAGAAGACGGCTTCTCATGTCCTGACAGAGCTAGAGAACACTGAGGACTGCAGCCAGGCTGGGACACCTCTATTCTGCCCTTCCCATCCCACTGAGGAGTTAAGGCTGTTCTGTGAGCAGTGTGACCAGCCTGTGTGCCGGGATTGCATTGTAGACAGGCACCGACACCACACCTATGACTTCACCAGCAATGTCATCCACAGACATGGGAACACCCTGCGGGAGCTCCTGAAAAACACCCAGCAGCATGTGGGCACCCTAGAAGGTGTGCTGAGCCAGATTGATGACATGGGCAGTGCCATCCGCAGTCATGTGGAGGCTGTGGCCTCAGAGATCTGTCTGTTTGCCAGTGGGTATGTGAAAGCAATTGAAGAGCACCGGGACCAGCTGCTAAAGCAGCTGGATGACTTGAAGGTGCAGAAGGAAAACCTCCTGCACTTGCAGAAGGTCCAGCTGCAGCAGCTGCTGCTGGACATGAGGACAAGTGTGGAGTACACACAGCACTTGCTGATGAGTGGCTCTGATCTGGAAATCCTCATCACCAAAGGGGTGGTGGCAAGCCGGCTGGCAAAGCTGAACACCGTTGCTTACAACACCCACCCCAGTGTGGACGATAGGATCCAGTTCTCTCCCCGGGAGAGGGCAGGGCAGTGTTGCGGCTATGAAGTTTTTGGAGTCATTCTCAATAAAGTGGTTGATCCAGCCAGATGTACTCTGCATGGTGAAGGTAATGGAGTGCTGTACAACAACTGAATGGGAATGTCCTGCTCCCTGAAGTCACCTCTCCATTCTTTGTACCCATGTGGTGTGCAGCTTAAGGCCCTGCTGGCACCCTGCTGTCTAGGCACTGACGTGGCGCAGAGGTAGAGCCATACCAGAGGTTGCATTGCTTGCTGAGGGTCTATAGGAGCCATGCTGGACAGGAAGCCAGAGAGCTATCCCCAGCCAGATGTACAGAGCGTACTGGAGCTGCCCTCCACAACGTCACTGACCTCAGCATAGGCTGAGGTGCAGCAAGAGCAATGTTTAAGCCAAAGACCAGAGCTTACTTGGGGGATGGGAACGATGCATGGCAGGACTTGATGCTCTCCCATGGCCCCAGCATTCTACAGCATGGGCCCAGGCAGATATCTTTTGTGGCTGAGCGAGTACATTCATTCCCCTTACAGCTTCTACTGAGATTGCCATGGGAATAACTGGCATCGATGGTTTTATGGATATTTGCTCACTAAGGACTTGGAGCAGAGCCAACAAACAGATAACATTAAGACCAGCCAGATCTGGTCAGTAATGGCCTATGCAGGGCAGATGAGGCAGACCCAGGGCTCATTCAATCCCTTCCATTACAAACTGTAAGTGCTGAGGTCTCTGGAGCTCCACACTGCACAGTGGAGCTGTTCCTCCTCCCTCCTGGTTGCATGGTGCACCTTGAGCCTTCTGGGAAGATGCCTGATGGGCTCAGAGGGGCAGGCAGGAAGACCACCCTGGTCCATACAGACCTCTGGGTTAAGCCTGCCCAGCATCTCTCAGTACCTATGACTGTCCACTCTCTCCTGAACCCAGTCATATATTTACTTTTCCCTCTGAGTGGAAGGAGCTATATGCTCCAGCAGCAAAGTCCTGGCTGTGCTCTAATGGGACTGCAACACTGCAAAATAGGTGGGAGGTGGCAGTCATGGCTGGTATGAATCCTTTCTGGTCCTGTTTCTCTGCCTTGCAGATCTTCACAGTGCCCGCCAGAACCAGCTGACTGGCTTTACCCTGCTCTGCAATGACACCACAGGGGAGCGGATAGGGCGAGGAGGAGAGGCTGTGCGGGTCACCATCATCCACAAGGACAAAAGGGACTGGTGGGTATTTCACCTGAGAACTCCCTGCTCACTGGGTTTGCCTTTCTGGTTCCCTCCTACATTTGGGCAGGTGGGAGAACATGCTTCAGCATGTGGGTCAAAATCTGTAGGAGAAAAGGCAGTGTTGTACTTCCCACCAGTATAGCAATGCTAACTACTGGTTATATTTGGCAGGCTGGAGCTTGGCAGTGTTGGTTCAGATTTGTATTGAGTCTTCAAGTGATTTGGGACTTCTTAAAGGATTCAGCTCTCAGTGCATGTTACACATTGTCAGAGTGAGCTGTTGCTCCTTCTCACTCCTGCCAGTGGACACCCAGGGCTCCCGCTTTTGTTCACACCTAGCGAGTGTAAAACATCGCAACCCCAGAAAGATCATCCCAAGTCAGACATACCGTCCGCCAAGCCCAGAAGCCTCTGACAGTTAATGGAAGTGCCTAGTTCCTGTTCTGGAGGAAGAATCTGTCAGGACTTTATTGTGCTTTCTCCTGCAGTTGCAAGCATTGAGCACTTTAACACGATCAGGGGTTTTCTAGCAAAAGTAGGCAAGACCACACTTGAGCTCCTAAGTGTTTCCACACTGAAAATCACCAAATGGCAAAAAAAATATTTTGCAATCGTTTCCAGGCTGCACTTGTTACTGTAGAGGTTCCAGGCACAAATGCAGAACCAAGGGGGGATAAGTTCTTAAGAAAAACATCTGTTCTGTTTGATAATACGTACAATATAGCTGGAGCAAGATGTCAGTGTAACTTGGTGGTGGTGGGACCTGATGAAAAAAGGACTGGGGTGCTAAAACCCCTTGCTATAGGGAGTGTTGACAGGGTGTACAGGAGGAGTACTGGCTGCACAGATGCTTATTAATAGAGCATCATCATTTAAGAATATTGTTCCAATGTACCTTCCTTCCTTAGGTGCACACAGGAAGGTGCGCACATGAGGATTATGTGGATTTTTTTGATGGGGTAGAGGTCGCTGTGGCCACATTAACTCAGTTTCTTGTTTTTGTGCGTATGCAGTTGCTACATCTGTTGCTGAAAGCTGTCTGGCTTTGGGCTGAGGCACAGCAGCTACAGAAGAGGGTGTAGTATCAACACATAGTTCATGGCAGGAAATGATGTAGGCAGCCATATTGATGTGAAATGGTGGGGGGTGGGGAATGCAATCTGCAAATCTGGAAGGTTGTCACACATGGGGCACAAGAGACTAATTAGTGGGGGTTAGGAAGAACACCTTTCTCTATGCAGAGCTGCCTGATAATAGTCTATGGAAAGCTCTTTCTGTCTTTCTGCGAAACAGGCAGTTAGTCCCTGAGTAACTAGTTGATGCTTTCTCCTTGGAACTGTGTCTACCAGGGTTCCTTGTGAAATGTAGCGAGCTTCACTTTCGAAAGGGAAAGTTCACCTGCAGGGAGCTAGAATGCTTCAGAGCATTGAAGAGAAGAGTCAGGAGCCATTGGGTTTGGAACGGTGGTTGAAGTGATTCAAACCTGCCCTGTTTATGTCCTGTCTTATTCGTGGGCTCTTCTGGAGGTATTTACTCTCTGAAGCCATGAGTTTCCCCCATTTCTGAGGGTTCTTATGTGATGGGATAATCTGACCTGCAAGTGTGCTGTCTGTCATCTTTTGCTCTTTCAGTGCTCAGGGTTGCTACAGATCCTTGCAGTGCAGCTAGCTTTATGTGACTTCCTTTGTATGGCTACTGCAGCTCCCAGTAGCAGCTGTATGTGAAAGCTGCTCACTGCTTGAGCATTGCTCATGCATCCTGTTAAGCTCGCTTGCCACCTGCAGCTGCTAGACAAGGCTGAGGATAAGGAACCAATCACAAATCTAGGCCAAACAGCAGCTCACACACAGAGCAATTTTCTGCTGGTCACTGACCTCTTGGACTTCTCTCTGTTCCTAGTGCAGTCAAGCCAACAGTGTGTGATAATGGTGATGGGACCTACCATATTTCCTACAGCCCTGATGAGCCTGGCTTGTATGCTGTCTGCGTCTATGTGAAAGGGCAGCATGTACAGGTAGCATTTCTCGTTTCTTTTGCACTGCTTCTTTATCTGCTTTTCTAAGTATTTGCTTTAAATCTTTCTAAGGATTGCTTCTACCACATAGCAGGTTAAGACTGTGCTTAGTGATATGTGACTGACAGGGTCACCTGGTTGGTTTTTGAAAACCATAGCATCCACTGCAGTAGCCCCTCTGCTTGCTTGTCCTCTGCAGCGCTCTCCGTTCACTCTGACAGTGAAAAACAAGTTCCGTGAGCACCAAGGTGTGTTCCACTGCTGCACATTTTGCTCAAGCGGAGGGCAGAAAGCTGCTCGCTGTGCCTGTGGGGGGACCATGCCAGGTGAGCACTCAGCTTTCCCCATGCTGCTGGTGTAAGGAAAGTTTGTTGCATTCAGTCCTCCCTAGTGTAGATAGGTGTGAGTAGATACTCCAGCCCAACTCCTGCCTTGCACATGCACCAGGCCTGTGATAACCTGTGGGTATGTATCTTCTGGGAGGATGGGACTGCAGCAGTGAGAAATGCAGCAGGACTTGCTAAGGGTCTTTGTAGCACACTCCATAGACAGAGACCTGAGCCAGCTCTGCAGGAGATGGGGCAGGACAGCTCTGTCTTTCAGCCCTTCTCAGTGAGGCCAATCAGTACTGTGTCCATACCGTTCCTGATCCCAGTGCTGGTAGGTTGGGAGCTTCTGGGCTGTGTCACACGATGCCAATGCTGTCCTATGGAGAAACATTACTCCTCATTTAGGATAAGAGTTCAACTCCATTATTTGTTTAATCCTAACCAGTTTCCCTGTCCTTGACCTGCATGTGTTATTGTGTGTTTTACATGTTTGTAGTCTAGAACCAGCCTCTTCCTTTTTCTGCACTTGATCTTTTGCTCTGGCCATAGCCACTAGTGGCTGGTACAGGGTTCTGCAGGCCTATATCCTGCATCACCCAACAGGCAAGGGGATGGAAATCTTCAGCTTTCCCCAGTGATTGGAATAGGGAGTTCCCCTTGGTTATTCTCCTTTCTTTAAAGAGGGCTGACAGTTTTGGCCTTGAATATGCTGTGTTCTCATCAGCATGTGCCCCCTCACCTTAGGGAAATCCTGGGGCTGAAGCACTTTCTGTAAGCTTCTGATGCACTAGGATTTTCTGTCCCACTTTGGGTTGAGCTGATGGTGCCTCTTCACTTACAGGTGGCTACCAAGGCTGTGGCCATGGACACAAAGGTCACCCTGGCTGCCCCCACTGGTCCTGCTGTGGACAAGTCAAGGAAAGCTCGGAGTGTTTGGGAGGACCACCCAGCAACACCAAGCAGAGAAGTTTGCTCAGAACAGTGGTGCTCTGAGCAGCCAGGTGAACTCCTGTGAGCCCAGGGCACTGCTGCTGACTGCTGCATCAGCACAAACCACGAGGATCCCTGCGATCACTGCATAGCCTTGGTGCCAGAGAACAACATCATGATGGGTGTGAGCTGAGAAAGAGGGATGAGGAAAAATAAAATTGTGCCTTATATTCCACCTGGTGGTGTGTATGCAAAGTTGTTCTGTGCCTGAACAGGAGCAAACTCTGGGAATTGCACTGGTGCCTACACTTTCAAGGACTGGAGGCCTGTGGGGTCAGGGGAAAACTTAGTCTGAGCAGTTACCTCACAGGAGGGTCAAGATTTGTCTCTGAAGGATCATCAATTTCTGCTGTCCTTCTTGAAGAGGCCAAAGCTACTCGTTGAGGCACATTCCAGATGATTTGTGTTCATGCCTTGGAAAGGCTTGGCAGCCTGAATATGGCTTCTTCCTCCCTCTTAGATATGTGGCTGGTTTCTGACCTTGGATGTGTGCATATAGCACAGTCACACTCCTGCAGGCTGCTGTTGTGATTGCAGCTCTTCTGTTTTCTCCAAGTGAGCTGTAGTCTCATTACACTCTCCCTGCAATCTAGAAGCAAGGTGGGTTAGTAACATATCTGAAGGAAATTCAGGGAAAACCTGTGGTGCTGATGGGAACAGGAATTAGAATGCCATTCACCAAGTCTGTCTGTTCTCCATGGAGATGGTGTGGGACATAGTGCTGCTGAGGGTGATGTGGGAGCCAGGAGAGCACCCAGCTCACCAAGGGAAGATTTGGGGACAGTCTGAGCATCAGTAGGAGCCGTACACACAAGTTTGCAGGTGTCTGTCCTGAACTGGGGCAACTCAGGAAGGGCAGCAGCAGGAGATGGAACATAGCAAAACCCCTGGATTTGGCTTGTGCAGTCTTGGCAAGGCTCTTATTTTAGAAGAACAGCTTGTCCTGTTTTCCACAGGGCGGGAGGATGTAGCTATGCTGCCAAGCTATGGCTGGGGAAATGGCATCTGTCATGAGGAGGAGGAGGCACTTTCCTGGAAGTGGAACTGCTAACCTGTTAATTGCTGCCTGCCCCTTGCCTGGGTGAAGCAGACACCCTGGATATTTCCTGAACAAAACACATTGGTGTCATTGAGGTTGGGAACGCTACTGCCCTGGGGGTAACCTTGCTAGTAGGTGTGTGTTGCTAGGGGCTCCAATACTGCCCGGGGAGCTGGAGTGGGGACAAAGGTCTGACTGTTGGTCATCTGGGGAAAGGAATGCTGCTCCAATGTCAACAGTAAGGACTGGTTCTTGCTTTCTGGCTGATGATAGCCAGCTTGTAAATAGTAGAAAACTGTGCTGTCTGTTTGCTTGCTCAGACCTAGAAGACTCATTTGTTGTTTGTTCCTCTTATAAAGCCAGTTTTGGAACCTCTTCTTCCCAGCAAAGGAGATAGATATCCTTATGCAAATGCTGTTTATAGCCTTCCATTAATCATCCAGAAAGGGCTGTCAAACAAACAGGGAAGGTTAGGCAGTTTAAATCTCCAAGTTGGGCAATTTAAGTCTCCAAGTTGCTGACTCTGAAATTTCAAAGTGAAAGTTTGAGTTAACCTTTAATGGAACAAACAGTATCTGGTTCTTGTCCTTGCTATGTGCAGAGTCAGCACTCAGTACAGAATGTGGTGTAAACCGTAATGTCTCATTTTCTGCATCTTTCTATTTCTTGCCCCTGACATGTGCATTGTTTTTTCTCAGAGCTTCCATGCTGTGCAGCAGTGGGAACACATTAAGGGCAGCACAGCCTTCTAGGAACATAATTTCTGTTTGAAAACATCTTGGTCCTCTCAGACAGAGGAATGTATTTTCTCTTTGTGTTAGGCATCCCTTACACACCCTGTCGTGACATTTTCCAAGAAGCTGTTTGTAAGAATTACACCAGCGAACCCTACAAGGAACTGCAGTCAGCTTGGGCTGACCTCTATATTTAACACAGGGAGAGGAGTTTTCAGACAGCATGGGGTACTAATCCTGCCAGGGTCAGGCCCTTGTATTGACTTTTTTGGGAACTTTTTTGGTAGACTTGAAGGTTCCCCTAGTCCCAGGGATTATAAAGTACTGACCAGCTACCACTCTGTTTGAGCAAAGAGGACTGGGCATGAGGACAAAAAACTTTGCTGATATGATCGCCTGTCTCCAAAGTTTTGGGGTGGGAGGGGGAGGTGGGGTGGGGGAGAAAATAAATGGTGATAAACATGAGTAGGAGCTTTGAGTGGCAAGAGCAGGAGGACTTACTCTCTGAATAGGGAAAAAAGAACAAGAGACTATAGAAGACCCGGGAAGAGGCCATGCAGCCTGGAAGGCTCCATGTAGGGCGACTCCAGTCTGGTATTATGCTAAGGTAATAGGAGGAGGCAAAGCACATGGCTGCACTTACAGCTCTGTGCATGAGGGTCTAGTTTGTCCTCAGAAGACTGCAGGAGCAGTGCAGAATTTGGCTTAGCAGGGCTTCTTGGCCTTCCCATGTCAGGAGGTGATTCACAAGGGTGCACTGACCATCTGGAGTGCCATGTCAAGGCAGACCCTGGCAGTGGCTCACAGGCAGCATAGGAGGGTTTCCTATTTCCAGCTAAGGGTGGCTCATCACCTCCCTGTTTTGAGAGATGAGGACTTATTCTGAGTGCTGCTGTTTCCAGCTGTCCTTTAGTGAGACTGAGGACAGGCAGAGCTGAAAAGGCAGTGCCAGTCTCTCCTCCTTCCAGCCTTCAGGGTGGGGCCACTACTGTTCCCATCTCGGGTGCTTCTCAAGCACATCTTGACACCATTGTTACAGGTGTGGGAGCACAAGGCTCTAAAGGTGTCCAACATTTTTTGGCTAAAACCCAAGGATAGCTTTCATCTTTTTCAGCCTGCTGGCCACCATCACCTTTCTTGACCACTACATCAAACTCATCTGCTTGTCAGCTTGCCACAACTCCATCTTCTCCTGCTTCTTGTCCTCCACTGATAGCTCTTTCAGCTTTTCAGTGATGCTGAAATAAGGCACAGACTTGCCATAAGTAAGGGAACTCCTCTGAGAGAATTATTATTTGTGAAGAAAGAAACAAGTTGTATTATGAAGGGCAGAGCGACTGCAGTCTGGTTCTTGTGCCTGTGCCTCCCCCAGACCACTGAACATCTTCTTGGGCCCTGACCCACCTTCAGTCCTTCCTGCCCCCAATGTTCCCTCACGCAGGCAAGAGGCAGCATGTGCTGTGACCAGCTGTAGGACACAGATTGGTGGGCCCAGCAAAACTGGTCGCACTTTGTGCCTGCTGTCACCTTCTCCCCAGTGAAGACAGCTGACGTCCCTCTTCCCCAGGTGCTCACCAGCTTTCACAGACCATATGGGACCAGATCCTGCTGTCACGTTTCACTGGATTTTGCTAATAGATTCAAAAGTGGTAAGACCTGGGCAGACTATGTGGTAACAGATCCTTGATTTCCTTGGAAATATCTGGAATACCTCTTTTATTTTTTTCAGTATAAACATACAGAGAGGAGTAGGCTCCAGCATCAGAGCTGCTCAGAAATTAATGTATTACCCTAGTGAATGGGACTTGCCCTGGTTCTACCAGGGCTGCCTGTGCCTGAGAAACAGACCTGTTTTTCCGAAATGGAAGTGACTTGATCTCTGACTGTGTGGTGAGGTGTGCTGTGGCTACAACCTGGAGTTAACTGGTGCACTGCACCAAAGGCAGCTGCAAATCAGGTGTCACTGAAGGCAACAGGATATTTCTTAATGTGCGCTTCCCACCAGGCCACTATGGACTTGAGCTATTAGTTTCTGGTAATGCTCTGCTTAATTTCAACAAGTTTAGTAATCAGTAGAATACTACAAAATAAACCAGATTTATTTTTTTTCAGATAGAAAAGGGCTAATCCATACTAAAGCAGAAGGAAAGTGGAAACCATATAAATTCTGCTTTATAAGTTTGAACTATTGCAACAACCCAAGAGTGACAATGATTCTCAGGTGAAAGATTTCCACTCCTGAACTTCACTTGGAGGCCATAGGATGAAGGATGTGCTTTCAGTAACAGCCAAGATTGAATGCAGGTCCTGTTCTAACCTCTGCTGCAGACCTTGCTCAGGGCATTCAGGTAGCTCTTCTACCTGGAGAGCTGTTAGCTTCACAGTCAAGAACTCACATTGAAGCAGCACATGAATGGCTGAGTAAACCCAACAGCTAGTCACTTGTGAAAGGAGAAGGTTCCACCCTGGCTCCTCTGTTCTTGCTGCAGGCCGTGCAGTCCTGTCCCACCAGCAGTATCACCAGATATGACTCTCCTCTGACCACATAGGGAGCCAATTCAACACCCTAATCCAATAGGAAACCATTTGCTTTCTAATTTTACTGTGTTTCCCAACAGATGGCAAGGCTTAGTGGAGGTTCAGATCTGTGCTCCCATCAGTGCAGGGTGGTGGGACGTGGGAAGAGGTTCAACACAAGCTGTGACATGTAACTTCATCCTGGTGTGATGAGGCTGGAAGTGGTGAGTCCTGGCTGCTAAATGCCTTGGAATAATTTGCTGGCTTGGATGCCTGTACAAGAGCCACAGCCCCTTCCAGCCCCCTCTCTACTGTCTAGAAAATTCTGTTACATGGCATGCACCACACCTGGCTATGTTTGTCCCTTGTAGGGGTGAACAGGCTCTTCTGGAGTTGAACTGTTGTCCAAAAGACTAAGTGCACACTTTGGAAATCTCACATATGCACAGTTAGAAGGGTACTGTGCCCCTCAGGGTATCGTAAACCTTCCTGAACCCTACTCAGCCTTTGCACTTGGTTTGGTCATCACTGACCAGTAATAATTGGTCTTGATTTTAACCTCTGGTTGTTGCAGAGAGAGAAATTTGGTGCTAGGTGCTGGACTATTCCCAGTTCCTCTGGGCATCCTCAGCTCTGCATAGGAAAGGTGTTCACTCCCACTAACCATCCAAACTTGCTGGAGATGGCTATGGACTGTCAAAATTTCCCCTTTCTCCATCCTCCCTGGAACGCAGTCCACACACAGATGACAGGAATCACAGGTTCCACTTTGGGAAATTGAATATG